TATGTATGTATGTATGTGCATATGGCAGTGGCTTTATTCATTTTTACAGAATTTTGGGTGAGTTATTATTATTAGACCTAGCGAAATTTCGGTTATATACGCATTTGAAAAGAGTCTCAGTGGCATTGAAAACAATTTAGTAAATAAACAATAATAATAATAATAATAATAAATAATGATTAAGGTTTTAGGCAGATGCTTTGTGGATGACAATGACCAGTGACAATTAAGGGTAGGCTTATACATATATGCAAGTAATGATACTCACAATGATGATAAAGGATATTTGGTAATTAGTTATAAATTAGTTGTAGAGTCGGATGATTAAATCGGTGGTAGCACATTATTATTGTGGGTGATAATTAATGTAAAAAAATAATACTAAATCATATTTGGCAGATGGGTACACATCGCTCTTTTACTAAAAGACTGTCTACTTATAACTCAAAAAAGTTAAAATTTTGAGTAAACGATGCAGAATTACTCTTTATATCAAGCTTCGTATTATGAAAAAAGCTTAATATTATGAACAAAAAATACAGTTTTTTTTTTTTAGTTGTGACAGTCTTTTAGTAGTGATGTGTATTCTGATAAACAAACAAAAAATTACTTAATTATAAATAAGTTATAGACTTCATACTAAATATTTTTTTTTTTTACATTTTGTGCACACTCACTTCAGTTGCTTTATTCCACGTGAATATACACACCCCCCTCCCTATTTTTTAAAAGTAACTCATTTCGTCGCATATATTAGAAACTTTCTGAGTTTGCTGTTGTTTGTCACAATTGCGCCGATTTACACATTGATTAGCCAATTGGGTGTTAGCCAATATTAAAGCCAATTGGATTTTTGTACTTTACAAGCCAATTAGAATTGTTCGCATTTCTATACGTTGCTGCGATTATTTATGCGAATTGTTGTGGAATTTGTTATAAAAATATGCAATTATTTAGTTGTAATATACAAAGCTTGCCAGTAAATTCAGCCATTGGGTACAATATACGCCCAAATTTTACCTGAGAAGTTAAATATCATAAGTAGATAATTATTTTTTTTTTGATTCTTAGGATACATAACTCTGATTATCGTTTTTTTTTTAATAATCTGTTAACCAACACGTCACTTTTTTCAAACAAAGCCATAGGAATGATCGGTAAAATGGTCTGCTTTAAAGTTCTCTCAAATGTCTGAATATGGACATAGAAATGTATGAATATGTGTACACCCCAATTCACTTGAATAGGCACAGTTTTTTTTTTCAATATTAGAGCTTTCATATAAATATTTGGACTTGTGGACCTCGAACAAGCTTAATTTTGATCTCAAATTGGGGAATAATCGATTCTAAAGAGAAGTGGCACAAAGGGACTTAAATTAAGGACGCCCTCTCATCTGCAGATAATGAATCAATTGAGCACTTTGCGGAAGCAGAGCGTTGACGGCGATCTGTTGGGTATACCATTAAAAGAAGTACATAAAAAGATGTTTGACCACTGTGACCGGCATGTAAATATTTCAACACTTGCCGCATATGCTTGTGCCGTTTTCTTGATTATGCCAGCAAAATAACGAACTTAAATTTAGTGGCGAATGTTTGGATGATCAGCAATTCCGGTGATAAAAGTGGCAAGGAAGGTGCTGTCCTTGAATTATTAAAGTTCCTTTTTTTGTAGAGTAGGCTTCTGAAATTAAAGTACTTTTTTGATTCAATCTAAAGTAAACCACTGTGCGTTTTCTTATGAGTTAAAAAATGGAAAAAATATTCGTGTGGCTTGATAAAGGGCCGCATAAAAACGAAAGTAGCCAAGGTAAAATAATATCACCATTTTCACAACTTTTCGCTAAGATTCCGAATTGGTCAAAATAAGATTTGGAGCTTTCCAATGCCTAAAATTAAAAGTATAAGCCTGGTTCTTGCAAAAAAAAAAACAAAAAAAAAAGTGTGGCTATTCAAGTGGAGTAGGGTGTAAATTTGGCTATTTCATAATTTAGGCAGTCGGAGATTTAAAAACGTTTTTATTTTCACAAAACGTTTGTTGGATCATAGTAATTTGTATTTTTTGCTAGTTTTAAATCAACAATAATATGCTTCTAGCAATTGAAATTTCGATCTAAGAACATAGTCCAATTTCACAAAGTTAAGCTACTTTTTCGCACTCAACCAAAAACCAAAATTTTCAACATTTTAATCAGATTTGTTTTTAAATATTTCTGAGTATGCAGATTTGTAGCCGATTAAATTCTAGTATAAAAATGCAAGTTCGGAGTTGGTAAAAAATCGCATGGATTTTTGAGAATCTTTTTTGCTTAAGGTGTTTTGCATTTTTTCCATATAAAGTATTTTCGAAATTTTTTTTTGTATGGAAGAGACTGCGAGAAAAACATGTACTTAAAAAAAAATTCTAGAAAATCTGATTAAAAAGTTGAAAATTTGCATGAAAATTTGCTGAATTTTCGCGAGAAATTATATTTTTAACATTTTTGTTATGCTATGAACCATATTTAAACAAAAAAAAAATTTTTGGAAAAATATTACGATAAAAATTGTTGCTTATATTGTAAAAAAGCATCTCTGCCAATACATTTTGCCAGCAGTGTACATTTTTTTTACAATTTCTAATGCCACTTAGCACTTTGGCTTGCACACTTTGTATTGTATGATATTTCACGGTAATTTGCATATAATATATTTCACAAATTCCACCACATGCGCATAGTAATTATGTTTTATTTATAAAAATTTAATTTTAGAAAAAAATTTCATTTTGAATTTACCTGTTAATTTACCAAATTCGTCTAATATCTCCTCTTTGCCTTTCGACTTGGGTATGTTGCCTACAAATAGGCGCAGGTTCGGTACGCTAATGTTAATTTTTAGACACTTGCCAGGTTTTATTTCGTGATTATCGAGCTGTAGATGGGGAATATGTATACAAATATTTATATGTGTTTTAGCGTTTGTTTATGTCATTGTTGTTAATTTTTTTTTTTTTTTTAGCAGTAGTTGTAGTAAATGTAAATGTAATGCAGTTGTAGTTGGTAGGATCACACTAATAATAAACAAGATACCAATTTATAAATAATAAATAAATAAATAAATAATTAAATAAATATGTAGTAAAAATGGTAAAAACATAAAATATGACAAAAATTAACGAAAATACTGAGCACAAATGGTTACATAATAAAGTTACGATGTTATAATAAATAAAACGAAAGAATAAATTTGAAATAATGCAAATTGAGCGATGATTTGAAGGTCAGCGAATTTTTGGAATTTGAAACAATAATGAATTTTCAGGAAGGTAATTTAAAGGTAAGAAAGATACAAATTTTCATGGAGGAAACTAAAATAGGAGCATAGGTTAGGAATAATATTGAAAATTTCCAATTCTTAAAAAAAACAAATATTTATAAATCTTGGGTACTAGGGAATCATGTTTGTATGTATGTGTGTTTTTGTAAGGTGCTAAACGTACACAATTACCAGTTCAGTTCGATTTGTAAAGTTGAAGAATGTTTAGGTGTGAGTGATTTGATGAGGGCAGGACGGGCGGACGTACTTAATTAATTAGCCGAAAATTGCACATTTTATAATTTTTCTTTTTGCTTTCAAAAGCCAACATTCATTAAACGTTGCATGAATTTCGTGTCCAAAATGAGAGTAATTTCGCATTAGTAGATGGTCAGGGAAAATTTGAGGTAAGATAAATAAAGGAATATTATTAGCAATTATTTGTTGTTCTTCTTGTTGTTTAATAGAGGACATGCTCGCAATTGAAAAAATAAAACCAGACATTTGCATTTTGCAGCTTCTTGAACAAGACTACTACATATAAACGCTGTAGACGCCGATTTAAAAGAAGAAAAAAAAAAATATTTATTCAAACTTAATCTTTGTTTGCAAATTCAAAGAAATTTGGTAGAAATCGAAGACTAAGCACAGCACTAACACTAAACTAATAGTAAAGCATGTACGTAAGAAGAATACATATAAGAAATGAGTAAACACAAGCTGAAGAGATTCAATTAAAGTAAACACAAAAGTTTGCCGGAGTGAAACGATGAGACGGTACGCAGTTGTTGCAAAGAGGAGAAATCGAAATAGCACATATGTAGATATTTTCTTTTTAGCATTTCGCTTTAAGAATTTGGATTGTTTTAGATTTTGGAATTTTGAATTTTAATCTTTTTTATTTAATTTTGAATTTCGTTGAATTTTTTTTTTTTTTTGGGGGTTGCTTCTTTTTCGCCGCACGTTCAAGCTTAAACTTAAGTTGTACCCCAAAACTATATTTTAAATATTTTTTGTTTTTCTGAATTACATATAATTTCTCGTACTTTACCAAACTAATAAAGCAAACGGCACGTAGTTATAGACATAATAAAAGCAGCTTAAAATAAATCATAATAAAAAATTATTCAAAAATTATTATTATTTAGTATTTACTTCAGACAGAACTTTAATCGAGTGTAATTAATTTCTAAATTGAGCAACCGCTTATACCTACGTAGGTGTTCACACACAGTCAGCTGCTCGATTGGCGCAAGGCCACGGTGCACTATAGACAATTTTAACAGTTTTTGTGGCAAAAAGTAGTTTTTCGTAGTTACGAAAATAAACCTTTTCTTTAATAAAATAACTTTAATAACTAAATGCCATTTTTTTCTTAATATGAACCTTTGTAAAAAAAACTGCATTTAAACTTTTTCAATAAAACAACAAATTAAAAACGGACCCCACTTTAGACCCACTGGCCGGCAAGAGCTAAGCGTTTTTTGGAAAAATATTTGAAATCATTTATCAATCAATAAAAAATCATGTTTTTTGAAGAATATTATTTTTTGTCATAAAAATGGGTCAAATTACCTATAGTGCAGTGATAGAACAGTAGGTACAAATGTACTTTTCCCAGCGTTTTTGTTTTATTTGAAAGTGCATTCGTTTTAATAAATTTTTAATAGAAAATTTTTCCACACCTTTTGTTTGTTTACAATATGATATTTTTTTGAATAGCACAATTATATCTACATATGTATGTATGTACATCGTTTTTTTTTTCTTTTAATTCCCGAACCGGTTAAAAGAAAAAAAAGCGCCGTTCTGACGAACTAATCGACAGGTGCAAAACCGGTTCGAAGCGCTGAACCCAACTGATCTAATTTGTAATCCGGCTCACTTCCCTGATTTTTACACCTGACTTTTACCGAAATCCTGAGTTTAGTGTTTAAATTAATAAAAATCTTTTTACAAAAGCGTGCTTTATAAATCGACTATAACTACGGCCCGTTCTGTTGAAACGTGTAATAAATAAATAAATTAAGAAAAACAATCAAAAAAATAAATAAATGGAAATATTTTTAACTACATAAAATAAGGAAACGGGGGCTTGGTAAAGGACAGGCAGCTAAACTACTTGAACGGAAAGTTGAAATATTTTGGAGCATTAGAGACTGCTTTTCAAATCGTTTTTTTTGTTTTGTATTTGTAAACTTAACCAAATTTTTCTTGTTCAGTTTTTAATTTCATTAACTTTTGGGGGTTTAATATTTTAAGTAGAATTTTCGGTCGAAAATATTTGATTGCATTCAATTCAATGATTGTATGAGTACAAAAAAAAAATAATTTGCACCATTTGACTTTTGTTTTTTTGTTTTGTATATATAAGAAACGGCATGCAAATGCAAGTGAAATATCTACTACTCGGTATTGTAGAATTAAGAGAGCAAAGATTCCAGCAAAGTAGTACAACTTAAAAGTACAGAGAGAACACGCGAAAGCAGCTACAAGAATAGTAAATACTTAAATTTTACATTTTTATAAATAGCTTAGAGCGAGTTCTGTGTCTTAGTTAAATAATACTAGATAATAATAAAATTATTTGTTAATTATATAATCGATACAGCGACGGTACGAGTCGCTAGTGTGGACCCTTTTATATAAAATTTGCTTTGTTTTTCAATCGCTCAAAATCTGGGGCCGGAAGTTGGTATCCGATTAAATTCATCCAAAATGTGTGTTTTTTTTAGTTTTTGCAGATTTTTTGTTTTTTTTTTTGCTTTTGACTTAAATTTTTTTCGTGTAATTTTTGTCAAATGAATTTCGAAGAAATTTTGTTTGCTCTCGGTCTAAAAGAAACGTTTTTTTTTTTTGGTGCCTAAAATTATACTATCAAAAAGAAATTATAGTACAATCGATTAAAGCGTTTTTTGTTTTTGTTTTTGATTGCAATAGGTAAATAGTACTAAATATGTACGTATATACATATACATATAATTAAGAGTTACTGTTCGTTTTCACAAAGCTACATAAATATAAAAGCTCTTGTGTTCGCAACTCTGATAAAGTGTTTGCATATAAAATATATACATATATATTTGTTTGTTTATTTATTCTTAGCTTTACGCGTATTTTTTTTTTTCATATACAAAAAGTAACAAATGAATTTCAAACTACCTGTCGTACGGCATTTGAGGCTGCTTCACGCGTCGTGAAGGTAACAAATGCATATCCACGATTTGTACCCGTCATCGGATCCATCATTAGTCTGAGGTCCCATATTGTACCGCATTCCTCGAATAACGGTATAATTTCATCCTCAAACATATCTTTTGGAATTTTCCCACAGAAAACTTCGCAGCCATTGCCGGGTGTTGGACCATCCCAATTGGGTGGCGGTCCACCATATTTGCGCTGACCTGGAAAATAAGGTGTAAACAAATTAAAAAAAATAGAAGTGGAAAAAAGTTAAATAAACTTGAAAAAAAGGTAAAATTTTTTACTATACACATTACCAGTGGTCACATCTAAGGAGTAGCCAGTTCTTTCGAGAATTTTTTTGATTTTCTCCTCATCCGGTCCCTTAACTGGAACTGTGGCCGCTGGCGCTGGCACTCCCTGTTGGCTGGCGCGGCTTTTTTGTCTGTAGGTTTTCATAACACCACATAAATACGCAGACTTATTCGATACATGCTCCAGATTTGATTCGAGGAACTGACTCAATACATTCAAGGCACCATCAACCGGAAACTCTTTGAGCGCATCGAGTGCGCGCTCATCTAATTCTACATGCGCTAATTTACCTGTTTTGTAAATATCATCGAGTTTGCCGGCAACCTTTCGAAAGAGAACAATAAAAAAAAGTGTGGTTACAGAATGTGAAAATCGTACATCTAAATTTTTATATATAAATTTCAATTTTATTTTAGTAAAAGAGAGTCTTCTGGCAAAGGCGTGTCCTAAGGGAGTAGCACATCATAACATCCCCGGTGCCTTCTAAGGTTGGCGGCAGAGTGTTTGCCAGAAACGTTGCTATGCGAAACAACAAACTGAGATTATTGGAAGGGACAAATGCTTCTGAGTCAAAAGCCATTTTTTAGCCTGCAAAGGATATTTTGCCCAAGTCTCATTTTTGTGCAATAAAATTTAGGGCATAGTATGTTAAAGCGAGCGATTGGCTTCCGAAGTTTGTTGCGCGGAGATAGGCCTACAATTGGACTGCTACTTGCCCAATCAGCCCCAGAGGACAATCTTGCAACATTCAGAGGCTGCGTCCGTCCTTTCTGGCATACATAATGCCCTGTTTATATTATTCTACGTGGTATCATGCCTGACGTCTTTGTATTCGCCTTCGTCTTTCGACTTTACCTTCGTCTCCATATTTGTCTTTGTAACCGGCTTCGTCTTCGTGTTCGTGTTGTTCAAGACGAATTCATATAAGGTGGTAGCTGGAGTCCAAAAACAAAAATGAACATGTATTTTGTTTTTGCTTTTGCGGCATGAACTGTCGTAAGAGTGTGTGTGGAAATACAAAACAAAGTATTTCAATTTGACATTGCCCTGCAAAAAATTGTGCGACTAATCTCTAAAGAGATTATTCCGAGATTACTCTCAATCGGGTACAATTGGGCATTAATTAGTCCCAACTAGTCTCATTCGGGTACTAATGGAGGTTAATTAGTCTCGACTCATCCGTTATGGGCATAATTGGAGATCAATTAGGCCCCGACTCATCTCTAACGGGTACTATTAACGATTTAATGATATGTACGCACTTAGTAAATGAAATTTNCACACAGAGAGAGTATTCGCCTAACAAAACTGAGCACCCCGGTTCGAATCTCAGCTTAAAAGTGAATAGTCGCTTTTTATACCCGTTCGGGTATAAAGGTGAACAATTAGTCTCTTCATAGGACATGCTCGAACAAAAGCGAACAGTTCATTCCATATAAAGAGATCAAATGTGGTATTAGTCGCATGTTCCTTTGAGATTGCTCCCGGCGTCATCCCGGATTAGTCGCATTTTTTGGAGGGTGTATACCGCTGGTGGGCATCAGTTTGCCCGCTGGCAAAGCCTTTTCAAGCTTTCTATACTAAGCTTGAAGGAGCTTTGTCCGCGAGCAAGCCGGTGACCACCACCGTTCTAAACCATGAACGCACAAAATCAGCTGATCTAGTAACACCACCTTGTATAAATTCGCCTTGGTGTAGATGCTAGTTTTCGTATTCGTTAGTTCACTATCGCCCCTTAAGAGATCACAAGAAGCTTCTATTGAAGCTATGAAGAAAAACTTTTTTTCTAAAAAAAATAAATTTTTTAAATATATAATATGTCTAATAATATTTTTTTTTAATAAAAACCGCGAACATATGTACATATGCTGGGCCTTTTTACTACAACCAAAATATTATTTTATTTCATTCTACTTTATGTATTTAATTTTTCTAACTTACTTTTTTATCTAAGCCATATTCCAACAGTTTTGGGTAATCTTCCGTTCTTTCACCATCCCCGCGATCTTCTGATTTTTGATTGATGTCCTCTACCAGTTCGCCATTGCCTTCCGCCATTTCTGTAAAGGACAAAAAAAAAACGTACAAAAATTGAGTTAGTAAATTTGCAATAAATATTTCGTTTGATTTGCTTTAAAATTTTTAAATAATATAAAAATTTACATATTTGACAAATTAATTTCCGAGACCATTTGCAACTGGAATACAACTTTTAGGTTGGTAAAAATTTTTGTACTGCAAGTTGAAAGTTTTAAAACTTTGTTTTTTTTAGTTTAACCATATAATAAATAACAAAAAACCAAAAACTTTTTTTTAAGAAAAAAATAATAGAATAAATGTCCATACAGGGCCTTCTGTAAGAAGTTTAACGGTGTAACTTAGAAGACACAAAAAATTAATTCATATGAAGTTCCTTTGACCAAAACTTTACAATCTTCCTCAATATGTGCGACAAGAACAATTAACGTATTCACATCTTCCTGGTAACCAGACAGGTGTGAACACCCACAATATACATATGTACATAGGTATGTTCAAAATAAACTTAAAAAGCTTCCAAACTTTTATTGAACTGTTAAACTCGAATCGAATTCTCGTGGAATCAAGGAAGTACAAAGCAGTTGATTTTACTGAATATATATGTACATATATTTTTTATGTATATATACATACGTACCTATGTAGTATAATAATGGCCTAGTTCGCAAAAATACAGTTTGGTTTTGCAATTCTATCAACTAAAATTTCATCGGTTTGAGGCCATTGAACTGCTTGCTACACGCGTACCCTAAAAAAAGCCAACACGTGAACGCGAAAAGTTTGCAAAATTTTCGCAATATTCACTACATAAAAAGCAAAAAGGTCATTAAATATGCGTAGCAACTGTTTAATAGTCCGCTCTCATTGTACATATGTACATATGTATGTGTGCATGAAAAAAAGTAGATCAACAACGCTGCCCGATCGCTTGATCAACCACTTGCAAAGCTGTGCACGCTACCCAAAGCTTCCTCAGTGTTAAAAAATGACTCCCCGCCTTCCACTCAATCTACCCAACAAAGTGATGATCAATGCTTCTCGCGCCTCAACTAACTATAACTATGCGTAAGCTATGGAAGATTGCGGAAGCGATAGACAAATTTACCTTGAGGAAGGTTCAACGAACGCTAATTAGGTCACACTCACTGTACGCATCAACGCACATTTTGCGAATTTGGCAAATTCGCACAACTGAAGGCAACACAATAATAACGAGCGACGCTAAACTTTACATATGTATTTGTTTGTGCATATTCTCTATTTTAGCGGCAGCGAAAGCGTGAAGAAGCACTCTCAGAAAGTAGTAAACAAAACAGAAGAAAAAAGAAAATTGTTGAAAATAGAAAAAAAAAAAAAATTAATTTGGCGAATTCGCAAAAATTATGCGTACAAAGTGCATTGACACCAGAGCCGATAGCCGAATTGCTGCCTCTCTATCGCTTAACATTTTCGTGCGTGAGACTCTATGCCGTTTGTAGCTAGCCAGTGTGCGCTAGCTGATCGCTAGTTTCGTCTGTTCAGTGCAAAGGCAAAGTGCGTGCCGGTACATAATTACTCGTATGGAACTGTATGTGGCCGCGCGTCAAAAGAGAATATTTTATTATTTGCTTAAATGACTACAAATTTATATTTCGTCACCTTAAATGCAAAAAGACGTAACTAATATTTTAGTTTTTTTTCATAAAATGATGTGGGAAGTTGTAATTCGATGAAATCCATTATATAAATCAAAAAAAAAAAGTGAATTTTAAGTTGTTTATTAGTTATGACCTTTTGCATTTCAACGATGATGTTTGTTACGTCTTTTTGCATTTCAGGTGACGATGTGTACATATGTCTGTAAGTAGTCTCACGCACAATGGGCTTGAAGAGCAGTGTTGCCAAAAATCGCGTTTTTTCCCCGAAAAAAGCACAAAATTTTTATTGGAGGATTTAATGTACTTTGTATGCATAAAAATTTGTTGTAGGTATTGCAATTCGAATTAGTAAAAATCAATACGGCAATTTATATAAACGCGTAAATACGTCGTAACCATGTAGACCTCGTAAACTTTCTTAATTTTGTATGGAAAATTGGTTTATTTGCGAGGTTTACGCAGTTACCAGGTATTTACGCATTTCTATGAATACCCATAATGTTTCTTGCTCGGCGGTAGAATTCATTGTATTTTTTATAAATTAAAATATTTTCGTCCAAGCGACGTTAACATTCTCGTTTTCATTTTCTAATTTGCAGCTTTCTCCAGCGTCGCCGTTTCGCTTAGATTTAAGCAAAACTTATAACTTTTTTGCTGAGAGTTTAAATATTAAATTTTCGTTTCGCATTTTTTTTACAATTTTTATTAAACGATAGCAAAGCCAATAAATGAAGTTTCATGAGCTATGCGGATGTTTAACTCTACACTGCATGCTTTCGTTAACTTAAGGAACTACCGATTCACACCTGAAACATAACGAAATTTGATTCCTCGTTTAATGTGCCTTATTTTAGCCTATTATCCACCGGCGCATAGTGGGAATAATTTGTTTGTGTAAAAAAAAGCCTCCTTCTCTTCAAATCTCACCCGATTTTGATTATTCATTCTTTAAAGAATTCGTTATTAAAATTACTGTTAGGAAATTCTGGTGCATTTTTGCCTAGTCGTAAAAATACAACAAATTCAGCCCAAACTAAAGGTCTAAAAATCGATTCCTGCAGTCTCCATTCGGCAGGCATAGATAAATTACCGAATGTAATTGCTGCCACATATTTTGTTGGCAAACATATGCTCTCTAGCTTATGGATGTTTTTGTTTGAAATTTTCTAAAGTTGCTTGCGAAACTAACACTTGCTAAAAATTTAACTTCCATTTTTGTTTAAGATTTACAGATTTGGTGTCTTCGAACTAAAACAAGAGCACTAAAAGCGCACCGTGCACCAAACTCATAAATTTTCACTTTTTGAATAATGAAAAGCACAAAATTTACTGCAAGTTGGCAACAGTGTTGAACATATTATATGAAATTTTAGTTGAGAAAGAGAAGTACAACCAAAGGATTTCAATAAAAAATATATTGAAATGTTACTATTTTTCAAAAGTGCCATTTTGCCACCTTGTGCCAAATTGAAAAATTAAGTGCCATTAGTAGATAGTAAAATAGGGCCAAAAATGGCACGGTTTTGGCCAAGTTGGCAGCCCTGATCGTATCAGTAAGCAGCAGAGGTGCTACAGCAAAACGATGTGTTGGAGCACACAATAAAATGCAGATGTTTCAGTAAGTTAACTCCATATCCCCACCTTTCTTGCCACTACCTACACATACATACATACGTAAGTGCTACTTATGTGTATTGCTTTTGTTTGGTGGCTATCTAATGGCACATTGCCATGGAGGCAGAGTAGCTAATGTGACGTAGCGACTATGACGTTACGTATAAAAACGTAAATAGGCAATAGTTGTTGGGTTTTTTCTTGTTTTTTTGCCTATTACGATTCTTTTGTTCGATTCGTGCGGTGGACACTCTATTTGCTTGTTAGAATATTTGTATTTTTGCGTGCGCTATTGTGTTTTTGCGCACCTTGCATTTTTTTCTTTTCATTTACGGACGCGTATACACCAACGCAAATTTTTAGTTAATATATGGAACATAAATATGTAAATACACAGACTTTTATGTACTACATGCATCCCTGTATCAGCATCGAATATTATTAAAAAATATATATATATTAACGGTGACACGCGTCTTGATGTTATAATACAAATGGTGGTACCTAAAATTTTACACCGCCTCCGAATGGCAAATTGATTTTATGAGAAGCTTTTTTCATGAAAGAAGTACACTCGGGGGGTTGCAATTTAGAAAAAATGTTATTATGTATTAAATCTCTAAAAAAATGCGTCCAAATTTTAAACTTTGTACAAAAATTTTGAAGAAAAAGTTTGGTCAAAATTTTTAACTTTTTAATCAGAAGTTTTAGTTAAATTTTCATAAATATGTAGTTTGGTAGTCAGCTAAGTTTTAGTATTATATGGATTAGAAGTAGTGGTTGTTAAAAAAAAATTACACCAGCTCAACATAAGGGCGAAATTTTTTGTGGGGTTATTCCTTTCCATTTAGCAATATACATTTTAAATATGAAACAAAACGGACTTTAAATACGGGTTTCTTAAATATTAAATCACCTTTCATATTGCATTGTCATCGGGCTCTGAGCCAAGTTTGAGGGTGGCAAGATTCAATTACACACAGGTAAAACTTAATAAAAGCTTATAAAATTTGGAAAATTTTTAATTTTTATATAACTGTTGAATTTTTTTACAAAGTTTGAATTTCGGATTTAATGGTTTTTGTTAGATACTACAATAATCATCAAATAAACAAAAGAAAATCTGTCAAAACTTGTTAAAATGTCGCGTCCCTATTTGTTTTTCCACCACTGTACATGCTCTACAGGGCGTATGTGGCTGACTAACTTATTATTCGGACAATTTTTATCGAACAATTGACAATGGCAAAGCTGAAGGGGAGTAGCAGCTGAGCGAATAGAACGACAATTTTGCGGCTTCCCCATTTTTTTTTCACTTAATTAATTTTTGAAAGATGCGAGAATAGAAAGGCATTACTATATACAGCTGCCTTTCGGACACATTGTTCAATTTTTTTTTTTTTTTTTGCTTTTAGACTTGGGTGAAGTTTTGTGTATTTTTCTGTCGGAAACCTCGTTTGTTAGCAGAACGTCATAATTCAAAAAATCAAGAATTCCCGAAAATGTTATCACTTCCTTCTTACCTTCTCGAAAATGCTTGCATTTCTAATCTATTATTTAACTAGCCTACAAGGTAGTTAACCAAAAATATTATCTATGATTTGGTGACAACAAAATAAAAATACAAAAATAAAATATATAAAGTTCTTAGTTAGCTGAAAAATTTTTATAAAAATAATAGTCAACGTCGTATTCATGTTTTTGTGAACGAGTAATTTCTGTAAATTTCATGTTAGAGTTGTTAGCGCGCGGGGTAGAAAAATTGCAAAA